AGAAAAACAATATGGGTATGCCAAAATACTCCCAAGTGATTATTTGGTACATTAAAGTAAGTACATTGATGTCATTGATGTGCCAAAAATTAGATACACTAGACTGAATAGGTACAATAGAATCAGACTTCTTCGATTATTGCACTTGTGTATTGTGTGCTTTACAGTTTTGACACTTTTTCCTGGTGACACTCTTTCTCCATCAATTTCTAGGGCACTGGAAAGTCTGTTGTGAAAATAGGAGCAAAACATCAAGACATGACAGGAGTGGTCAGACTTCCATTATAGCCTGCTTCGAAAAACAGGCCAAAGATAAGGAACAATCTTCTCATTCTGAATGTGATCCATTGAGCAACAATGAAAATGACTTTGACTTGGAAAATCCAGGATCAGCTATAAATCTTGATAATATGTAAGATATAGAGCCATATACTGTTAGTATAACAGTTTAATAATTTATCAGTTATGAAATATAATATATTAAAGAGTTGTATTAAAATATTGACAATAAAGGTGTTAGCGGGGATGTATTTTCTTTTAAATTTCAGAGAATGTTCTGATGACTTTTGTGATGTACCAGATCTAGAGTTGTATCTTTGTAACAATGATCAAGAAATCCTTGAAATAGAAGTGGATATTACACCTGAGACTGACGATTATGATGATAGTTATTCATCGTCATTCGATGAAACTGATGATGGCAAGGATGAGTTTAGAAATAACAAATTTAGCAAATGAAATTAAAAAGTCTGCAGTCTTTCCTTAATGCTGGTATACTTCCTAAGGAGAGCATGTTTTATATTCTACTGAAAAATGCTGTCAGTTATGTAGATTGGCTTGTGAAAAGGAAAGAAAACCAGTCTTCAGTTTCAGTGGGACAATGAGGTTCTTCAGTTTCTTGAAAGCCTTGAGTATCATGGCGGATGAAAGGTTGTTAACTTATTGAGGAGACCTGGTTATGATGGAGAAGGTGCCGTTTCAGGTTTTGACTGCAGAAAATGGAACTGGCCTTTACCTGGAAAGACAACACATGATAAAATGTACAGCAGATATTCAACAGAGAATGGAACATATGCTCCCCTTCTTCAGAGTTTCTTTCAGTTGTCAAGTGAAGCTGATAGTGATATACTAACACTCTATGAAGATAGTACAGTTAAAATAATACCTGTTGCGATGGAATGCAACTAAAACCTGGATTGCTCTATGACAGCAGACAAGGGAAAATCATTGGAAGTACTTTTAACTTGGATTACAACTACATAAAGCAAGGTGAACCCAAAAAAGATAGCTTCACCTAGAAATTTGGTGATACTGGAAAAAAATATCAAAATTTTAAAAACATCATAATAGTATACCTTAACATGTACTTTATCAACTACTGATGTTTTTTTAAAATTTTTATGCGTTTTACCATTAAAAAATAGACTTTTGGTAGAGAACCTGAAAATCTGTCGATTGTTTGCAGCTGGTTACCATGGAAACGGAATTCAAAAAACCTCTGAAAAGGCCGTTTTTCTGGGCCATTTTGATGTAAAAATATTGAATAGGGCTACCTATGCTAAATGTGTGTATTAGGGATACGAGGGGGGCATAGGTACATGCTTATTGCATAATTTTGCTTATTTACATTCTGATTTGCATACTGTGGTCAACATTCGAAACAGGTTTGAGAATATATTCTGCTGAATCGCTATTTTGTCGCTATATTTTGTTGTATTTTTTGCTTGTAATAATGCCAAAAGGTTCTAAAGAAGGCACAAAGTTGCGTGTGAGAAACAAATCGATGAAGAAAAACCTTTTCAAAGGGAAACGTTTCGCTGATTTGCGCAAAGATGGCGAAAATAATGGCTCTCAATCTGCCAGCCAACAAAACGCAATTACTCAAGATCGAGTGATAAATAACGAAGATTTGGTTACTGTAAAGTCAACATCGGCAAGAAAACTGGAGAATGCTAGTTCTGAACTACCCCAAACTCCCGAATTTACAAGACAGAATTCACAAGAGGAAAAAGACGGATACCGGATTGTTTATATTGAGAACATACGGAAAGTTGTTGAAAT